CAACACTGTAAAGACACAAAAAAAGTGTCGCTGGTTTCTTTTTAAATTCTGGAAGGTATGTTTTATGGAAAGAGTCACTGTCATCAAGCATTTACTCATTACAGTTAAATGAGAAGAATTAAGAGCAATTTAGCACACAGCTATGTCCTCAAATTAAGTTCAAAGATGTTTAAACATGGTTTTTTTTCCCAGAAAGGTAAGTTTGAAGAGACTTGCAGCACATTTCTCTAAATATTTTTAGCATTTAAGCATTTTTCAAGCTTTTAATGAAGCTTCATGGATGATTTCTGTAAAAACTGAATTTTGATCAGAACCAAATGAAGGATTTTTTATTTCATAGGACAAACTTTAAAACTCAATTTAAGGCATGAATAAATTGTTTTTATTTCATTTAAAGATATTCCTATATATCTGCTTCATGAGCTGACAGCTCACTAAAGTGATAAATAATAGGAAATAATACCAAATTTTCTAACTGGACACTTTTCATGGAGAGACTCCCTTGGTATGTTTGTTTTATGCCATTACTGATGTTGGTTTTCTTGTTTCTAAACAGAAATTACACAAACAAAACGTGGCAGAGAAGGAAATTCCTTCTACGTCTCATCAGAGGTAAAGAAATGCGCCACTCTTTAATGCTGCTGGAGATATTTATAGCAGTGGTTTAGTTGGAGCTGTTTTATTTCCCTTTTATTGGCATTTTTCTTCCACCTTGTGTATTTACATCTTTTTTACTAGTTCTAGTCTATTATTTATATGGATGCAGAGATTAGCGTTTGAAAATGTAGAGTGTAAATGTATAAAATACATGATTTTGTTCATGTTGCCATTCCATTACAGTTATTCATTTTTATTAGCAACATGTACTCCTTCTTATAAATCTCCACAACATTTACACTTTTGTCCTCATCAGCATCCCGGATGCTTCTGCTCAGCATCCTGACATCTTTCCTAATTTTGTGTTTGTGTTTTTACCTTTTTGGAGCAGTGTAGCATGCGGTGGAAAAGCAATAGAAACTCAAACTGAGACTACAGACTGCTTCGGGTGAGTACACGTGGTGCACAAAGACCAAAGCT